CTATTGTTTGGGATGAACAATACTAAGGAAGGGGCAGTGTTACGACAGCGGAAGTCACGTGACGCTGGGGCATGCACGCTGAAGTTTCTCGAAAGAATCATGAATTTGCCCAACAACTCTAATTGATCGAGATGCCCTCTTTTTTAATATATGAGCCTGGTGAGAAAAACCAGCGGGATTGAAGATATAGATAATTGAGTCAACCAAACAGTAGTGACATTGAGCCATAAATTGTGTGTTTTGCATTCATCTAATAGAGCAAAGTTATCAAGCTTGTGAATCGCTGTGATTTATAGCGTATATTATAAAGTTATTAAGTTTAAAAAGACGAGAAACGTATTGATTGTGGTAATTCTGTGTATTACAAAGTTGTATCAAGGAAGAATAAACTGGGTTAACCAAGAAAGGACTTGTATCGCTGAAGCTTCTCAGAAAGAATTTCTACTGGAAATTAACAAACAAGCAGATACGTAACAATATATAAATAGTACTAGATGTACTTACACAGGGTCCCCGAAAGTGTTCTATTTTAAAAGTAAATAAAACTGAAATTAAGAGTAACAAATATTTTTATTTCTTACTTTTGAAATTCATATGTCATAGTCATACTATTTTGTAACCTGTAGAATGCATAATTCTTTTCATGATTCATGGCATGAGCATGTCTTACTGATGTCACAACAGTACAAATTGCAATGTTAAAAGCATCCCTTATGTGACATAATTTTAGTGTCTACTAACTGACTGACAGACAACACACTACTGCATAGTGGTGTGAGTGGTTAAAACAAGTAACCCCCTCCAGGCAGCATTCAGCTCTCCTTTGGAAAATTAAATAAAAGAAGTCACATGAATATTGTTTAAGGCTTAGAAAAGGTATCTTGTTTATATTTGGTTCTTTTAATGCTTGGAGATGGCTTGAATGGGTAATGAAGAAAAACTTTAATACAAGTTTCGCATAACAGCAAGTATACAACGTTTTGACAAGGTTTTGTCATCATCAGGTACAAGGACAACCATCATCACATCATATAAGCTTAGTTAAGTTCAATGCATATGGTAAGTAACTGTAAAATATTCTGATGATTCAAATCTTTATTTATCTAATACTATTCTATGTTTATCCTATTCAAACAACATACAAAAATAAATTGGCTAACTGGCTACTTCATTACTTCTAACTGTAACAATGATATGTTTTAAACAAAAACATTATTATTATCCTTTATGGTAAAAGTAAAACATGTTTTCATTATTTAATTACCAATATATATTGGATAGTACTTAATTGACATTACTGATTCATTTACAAAGTAAACTTACCACATGAAAAGAAGAGTAATCTGAAAATTACCATCCATGTATAACAATTTAAAGTAAATAAAAACACACACACACACACACACACACACATATATATATATATATATATATATATATATATATATATA